AACAGCAGATGAGGTAGAGAGGGAAGATGGGAGGGGAGGGGAGGGGGATAGTAGGGGATAGAAAGGTAGCAGAATACAACAGTCATTAATATGCCATTATGTAAAAACATGAGTGTGTAACCGATGTGATTCTGTAATTTGTATTTGGGGTAAAAATGGGAGTTCATAACCCAATTGAGTCAAATGTATGAAGGATGATATATCATGAGCTTTGTAATGTTTTGAACAACCAATAAAAAAAATAAAAAAGAAATTTTAAAATAATCTGTTTTTAAAAGTTTTAGGAACTTTTAATAAGTGATGCCACAAGATCCAAATCTGCATATAAAAGTCAGTAGTATTCCTGTGTTCTAGTAATGAAAAGTTGGAATTTGAAGTTAACAAAATCATGGCTGTGTAATAGCACTCAAAAAAAATCAAGTACTTGGACATAAATCTAAAAAAATCATACATGCAGAATTTGTATACTGAAAACTATAGAAGAAAAACCCCAAAGATCTAAATTAATGGAAAGATATATTGTGTTTATACATTGTCAATATTGTTTCTAATTTGGTTGATAGCTTCAGTGTAATCCCTATCAGAATTCTAGAAAATTTATTGTTTTACATGATGTACAACACGTTGGGTTTTCTGTTCGGTTGGTTTTGGTTTTATTTTTTTGTAGTGTTGGGGATCAAACCCAGAGCCTCACACATACTAGACAAGCAGCTGAGCTACATCCCAGCCCCAACAGGCTCTTTTGAAATGTATGTACATTGTATAATGGATAAGTTAAGCTAATTAACATATATTATCCCACATAATTATTTTGTGGTGAGAATACTTAAAATCAACTCTATTAACAATTAAGTACATAATACATTGTTATTAACTATAATAATCATGTAATAAAATAGATCTGTTGATGATATTCCACTTATCTCTATGAAATTTTGTATTCTCTGACCAACATGTCCCCAGTCCATCAATTCTGTGGTAACCTCTCTTCTATTCTCTGCTTCTTAGTTCAACTTTGTACACACAAATAAAATTATGTGGCATTTGTCCGTCTGTGCCCGGCTTATTTTCTTTAGCATAATGTCCTCTGAGTTCATCTCTGTTGTCTCAAATGACAGAATTTCCTTCCTTTTTCAGGCTGAATAATATTCCATTGTATGTGTGTGCCACATTTTCTTTATCTAGTCACCCATTGGTGTATACAGGTTGAGTTCTTATTTGGCTATTGTGAATAATGCTGCAATGAACATGGGAGTATAGTTGTCTCTACCTTTCCTGCTTGTCCCCAATAGTCCTTACATATCTGATATTTTCCATCTTTATTCCTTTTGTTTTTCAAGTGTGCAAGTTTATATTAATAGATCATCAAGCTCAGAGATTCTTTCCTTAGCAGGCCCTATGTACTAATAAGCGCATCAAGGGCATTCTTCATTTTTGTTAGTTTTTTTTTTTTAATCTGTAGCTCTTTTTGTTTTGTTGGTTCTTTTGTAGGATTTATACTTATTTTCTTACATCTGTTTTGCCTGCTATCAACTTTATCCTTACAGCTCCATTGATTTTTTTTTTCAATTTCTGGTCTTTGGTTCCACTTATTGCTGTCTTATCAAATTGTGTTATTTTGCCTTTTAGCATGCCTTATAATTTTTTTGATAGCTGAACATGATGTACCAGGTAAAAGGAACTACTATATATAGATGTTTAATAATGTCATGACTTGGTGTATGGGAGAAGTGTTATGTAGTTATATGACTGGATTGTAGTCTTTTAGTGAGCTTGTGCTTCTATACTGTAAACCTCAAAAGCACTTTTAACTCACCCAACCTCTTCAGATAGAACAGAATGGTTAAAGAGAACTGAAATTATTTCCTTTCCTTTTATTTTGTTGCACTCTAATAAAAACATTAGCAGGTTAAATAATTACTTCTTTTTATATTTTTGGTACCTGGGATTGAATCCAGGAGTGCTTAACCACTAAGCCTGGCAAATAGTTTCTTCTTAAGAAGCAGAGTACTCTAAGGTATTTAAAAGTGTTTTTTTATTTCCCCCTGCTGAAGATATAAATATTCCCCTCCCTCATATTTTTGAGAATTTGATTGAGCTCCTGTAGATAAAACTCAAAAGTGTGTGGGCTGCCCTAACACTGGGTCTTCCTCGAGTTTTTAACTCACTGACCACACTGAACCTCCAGCAGTTTATCAATTGCAGTTTAGTTTTTCCTAATCCCAGCCCTGGTTCCCTCGGTGGTTTCTATTTATGAACATTACTCTGGGAAGCTGTGATCCCTCTTTTTGCCTCTCTCCTGAATCTTGTGGGAAGTGGTTTGTCTGTGTTCTTCCTCTCTACAGATTCAAGTTCTAAGAAATTGATTTTTCAGTCTGTTCAGCTTTTTACTTCTTGTTTAAGATAGAATGACATCTTCCAAGTTCCTTATACATGAAACTAGAAGTCTATTTGATTATCTTTTAATCTATATACAAACGTCCATACCAACTATAAATTGAAAATGTACAGTAGAATTTTCTGAGGCTTTTAAAAATAATTTGTGGTACATTTCTTCTGGTGGTTCTTCTTGGAAAATAGATTCCTCACATTTAAGTTTATAAGGGAAGTGCCATTAGAGAAGAAAGGAATGTTCTTTAAAACAGCAGTCTCAGAGTTACAGTTTTATGTTGAGACATGGAAGAGGATTTAGGATTGTTTAGAAATCCCCAGTTCTTAAATGGTTTTAATACTCTCAGCAATCTGATTTTTTATGGTAGTGAGATTAGTGTTAGATGGAGTGGAATCTATTTCAATAGAAAACTTTCTGTTGTTCATCTATATTTATAGATAGTTCTCCTAAGAATGTTTCCCTTGATGTGATGTCATTAGACACATTATGAATAATTGTCCTATTTCTTAACAAATAGGATACATTGGCTCTTCCAATAGCTCTTCTATCTGTAATATCTATCAGCCTAGGCATAGAAAACAGAGGACCTTTTAGTCTCTTTTTATTTGAGGAACTAGCTGTTTACCTGAAGAATCATAAGTTTGTTTCATTTCTAGCTCTGTACTTCCTATGACTTTTTTGAAGATGTTCAACCATATGTAGAATATAGTCTAAACCCAACATTATCCCATTCTGGTTTATTTTTCTGATTAAGTCTCCTATCATACATAAACAAAAATGAATCTCAGGGGTTGGGGATGTGGCTCAAGCGGTAGCACACTCGCCTGGCATGCACGGGTGCTGGGTTCGATCCTCAGCACCACATAAAAATAAAATAAAGATGTTGTGTCCACCAAAAACTAAAAAATAAATATAAAAAAATGAATCTCAGTTTACTTCAGATGTTAGGTCAATACCATGATACTATTTAAAACTTACTGGAGTTAAATTCTCCTACTGATAAATTTTCATTATTTTTTGTTATTTTGAATTTTTGTCCTGTGTTAATCTTTTCTATCCTATTCTTTTAAGTTTTCCTCATAATTAAGTGATCCTGTTGATCTTGCACTATCTAACTAAATCTTGAATTCTGTAATAAATACCTATTTTTCTGAGAATTAAAAAAAAATCTAAGTTGTAACCCACAACTCAGATCTAGACCATGGTTTAACTTACGTGTTTTGCCTTCTGATCTGGCAATTTTGGGGGGATATTCTACAATATGTATGAAAAATATGAGAAAGGGCAGATTGTTTAGGAAGTTAAATGGAGAAAGAAAAGGAAATATGGTATGAGAATGAGGTAAAATTGTATAGAGAAAAACATTTCTTGAGTCTTTAGAAAATGTAAGATATATATTGTTTCCTTTTCCTAAGAAGTAGACTTTTTAAAAAAATTTTTTTAGTTGTAGATGGACACAATTTCTTTATTGATTGATTTATTTATTTTTTATGTGTGCTGAGGAGTGAACCCAGTACCTCACACATGTAAGGCAAGGGCTCTGCCACTGAGCCACAACCCCAGTCCAAGAAATAGGCTTTTATCACTGAATTCACCCACAGATTATCTAAAATGGACAAGTGATAATAAAAGTACCTTCTGTTAAATTTAATATAGCAAACTTAGTATGTCCTACTTTGTATAAGGGAAAATGCTGAGCATTGAAAATATATGACACTTCCTGCTATGAGAGAGTTACATTCCAGTGTCAGTAGAGTGTGAAGGAACAAATGTGAATTTTCCACTTTTCTATGTGCCAGATGTGTTCCCAGATCCTGTAAATATTTTTTCACATATCGTATCCTAAGAAATATGTGGATTACCACTCTATTCTCTCATTATGTAGTTTGGGCAATGAAGTCTGAGAATTTAAATGATTTTTCCAATGTTGTACAGCACAAAGCTTATTGAGCCAGTATTTGGACTTCGATCTGTCTATTTGGACAGCTACAAATATCTATAGACAGCACAATGAGAAATACACTTATAGAGGCATAAAAATAGAGCATCAGGGCTTATTGCCACAAAGTCTCTTTAGTTGGAATATTTAAGGAAAGCTTCATGAAGGAAGTAACATTTGAGAAGGTTAAGGGTAGGATTTTTGCAGGTGGATATAGCAAGGAAGGCAAGTGAGGGAGGTGTAGAATTGGAATTGAATTTATTAATTCATTTTGAAGCCAAAGCATATGTTCCATCTATTACACAAAACTAGAACTGTAAGAGCACATGCAGGAAAACAAGAAGACTGAAAAGGAATATATTACTTTGAGTTATAGAAGAAAAGCGTTCAAAGCAAGATCAAGATAAGAACATAGAGGACCTTCAATGCAAATACAAGAAGTTCTAGGATATAGAAGAAATCATTCTAAAAACTAATTACCAGTGGTTATTACATTGTATTTCTCTCCTTGGCAACTCGTTATCTCAGAACTAATATTTCTGAGGGATTTGTAGTTTGTAGTGGTAATGGAGCAATATGGAGGTAGAGCTGTGGGTGAGGCTATAAAGCAGAGAACTGGAAAATGCTTTTGATGGAAACCAATGCTTTCTTTGATGTATTTATTTTTAGCGCAGACCATTTTTCAATATGGGACCTATATCAGAGGCTGATAAAAAAAGAGCAAGCAACCAGTCAATTCCACAACTAACTGATTTATTGGAAATTGCAAAGAAGGAACAAAAGTTTCTGATATTTGATCTTTTTGGCCCTCCACCAAAACATCCTCTCAGAAACACATTTGTTCGTGAAGTAGTAAGGGTGATCCTTGACTCGAAAATTGCGCAACATCTGGTATGTTTAAGTATATATGAAAGAAATTGGGAGGTGGGTAGCACGTCCAGGAGCACAGTAGTTGAATTTGACCTACCTTATAGGTCTTCCCTGGGATCCTTAAGTAATTTTGCTTTCTATAGAAATGGAAATAATTTTTTATACAGCTACATGTGATTATCTGAGAAAGACCCAGTTAAATTTATCTCAGTGAGGGAAAATATTGAGACTGTTTGCTATTCTAAACCAAGTGGAATATCAGCACCTTGTTAAAGAGGCTTGTGTATAACAGCTGTGATGTGACCTGCACTATGATCAACATAGGCCTGTTAGAAAAAGCCTTCATAGCATTAAGACTTTGAAGATTTAGATTTAATGAATAATATAGAAAGACAACTGGTTCTTTCTTGAACAGAGATTTTTCTCATCACGTTTTTCAGAAGCAGCTCTCTGCATTTGGATACTCAGTCATTCCAAAGGGCTTAAATTCTCATAATATGGGAGTATTATGAGTGAAACAGATATCTTCTTGAGAATGGAACTGTTTCCACAGATGAATCATAATAGTATCCTTGGTGACAGGAAATATCTCCCCTCAATGATAAACTTTTAGTATCACCAATTAAGAAGAGTTTTTTTTTTTAACTCCCACCTTTCATTCATATCTACCAACTCCTCATCCACTTTTCAATGTGAAGCTTCCTCTACACAGTGGGCCCTTGATCCTTGATATTAATTGGTAACTGAAGAAGTCCTAATAAAACTCAGCTCCAGAACAGCAATGGTGAAAGGCCCCATTATAAGAGTTCATGGGACAATATTAGCCAGGTTGACTCTCTTCACCAAGGACTGAATCTTTTTCTGTTTCCTACTGACTACTACCAGTGCTGAAGTGAAGTCTGATCCATTTCCCATGGGGTTGTTTGTACATAGACAGCTAACTATCCACTGAAGAACTTCCTGTTTCTCCTTACAGATTTTTTGGTTGCCATCTCATGATAGGGCGTATGTCAAGTATATGGCTCCTGGTTTTCAGCATGTGGGTCGTTTCCTCTCCATTGAAGACCTAGCAAAAGAGAATATCAATATAATAAATGTTGACTACAAGAAGTTATTCTACAGTGGGTTGAGGTAAGTGTTTAACCACACCTCTCTTGGCATGTATTACATTACTTGCATAGAATGTAAATTCCACCTAAGGAACTGAACTATCTCTTCTCATTTTAGGATATCTTTTTATGGTTATATACTTGGAATTCTATACTTTCTCCTTCCTATCCTCCCCTCCCTTCTCTGCCAACAGACATTTATCAAGTGTAAACTGTGGGAGGTCATCCTCACATGTGATTTGAGTTGTCTCCCTGGCTGGATGAGAGGCGCTTAGACACATCTTTGTGTT